AGACCCAGGACACGCTGGAGGGACTATGTCTCTCAGCTGGCCTGGGAACGCCTTGGCATTCCCCTGGAGGAGCTGGAGGAAGTGTCTGGAGAGAGGGAAGTCTGGGCATCTTTGCTTAGACTGCTGCCCCAGCGACCCGGTCCCGGATAAGCGGAGGAAAATGGATGGATGGATGGATGGATGTTGGCCAGTATTTGTTGGACTTAAAATTTAACACATTTAGGTATTCGTTGCAGTGCTAGGCAGAATTGATATTGGACTCATTACCTTTTAGTTATTGGATTTAAAATAATTACAGTTCAGGTGTTCATTCTTTGATGTTGGATGTAAAATTGTCACCTTTCCGGTGTTAATTCTATGCACTGTTAAGCACTGTTGCATTTTAAGCACAGATTACCAGTGTTCTTTCCACTGTGCTGGGTTGGAGTATTATTTATGTTGTACTTTTTGTAATTGTTTTTATATTGCATTTAAAATTGCACTTTATTTTCAAACAAACATTTTTTTTACAGAAATTTCAATAAAAAAAAACAAAAAAAATACTAATGGTTGAAGTTGTTTTACTTTTTTTTAAGTCAAAAATTATATGCTAATTAGAAACATCATTACATTAATTGATTAGTCGACTAATCGAAATTTTCATTGATAGATTAGTCGACAGACAAATTAGTCAAATTATGCAGCTCTAATCTCAACATCGCCACAGCATCCGACCATGAGTAGCTGTAGATTCAGTTGGAGCTTAATTACTGATTAGTCTTTGTAGTCAATAACAGCACAACATCTGACATACTGTACCTATCCTACATGCAGACAGTGTAACAGACTCGGTCACAGGGCTCTGGGACTCCCCTTGTTAAATTCTAATCAAAATTCAGGGAATTACTTTGAGAATCATTTTGTTTTTTTACAGATGATTTAAACTCAGGAGGGCAACAGAAATGGCTTGTTTGTTCAATTTTCTTTCCCCCCCCCCTTTCCTTGTGTTAACATGAATAGAGGAGACCATATGTGGCTCCACGGAGACAGAACAAGTAGACGCTACCCAGGGTAAACAACTGAGAAAAGAGGCAATCTATTGGCTTTTCTAAAATACTTTGTTGATCTATTGGTTTAGTGCTCACATGGTGAAACAGCCTTAGTGCAACAGGTGGCAGTTGGTTTAAAATGAGATTTCTAGTAAAACAAACTGGCTGCAAGTGCATTAAAATGCACAGCAAACAACATTTTTTACACAGTATATCAGCTTTGTCACAAAAATGACATTTACAGTGTTTCCCCAGTTTTTAAGTTGTACATGTGTTATACAGTGCAGTACAGAAGATATTTGATCAGTGAATGAAAGAAAGAACCCAAGTATCGAAGTCCTCGATGAGCTCATACAGTAATTGCATTGATGAGCATTTCTCATTAGCATAACAGTGAGGATGACTTACTGTATGTACGTAATACATTCTACAATATCAGACAAAGATGAGCATGAACTTAGTTTCATTGTCCTGCAATTATCTTGACCTTAGTGACTGAGCACTAGTTAGAAAATGTACCTGAACCACATCTTTCACAGTAGCACGGCTAGAGAACCACAGGATGCTATCTTGCAGTTATGACTTAGTATCTCATAATTATGAGATTTTTTTTTCTTGTCCATCCATCTTCGTCAGCTTTATCCGAAACCAGGTCGCAGGGGCAGTAGTCCGGGCAGGGCCTCCCAGACTTCCCTCTCCACACACACCTCTAGCTCCTCAGGAGGAACCCCAAGGCGTCCCTAGGCCAGCCGGGAGACATAGTCTCTCCAACGTGTCCTGGGTGGGCCCTGAGGGCTTCTCCCGGAGGGACATGCCTGGAATACCTCCCCAGGGAAGCACCCAGGGGACATCCTAAACAGGTGCCCGAGCCACCTCAACTGGTTTCGCTCAACATGGAGGAGCAGCAGCTCTACTCCGAGCTCCTCACGGGTGCCTGAGCTCCACACCCTAAGAGTGCACCCAGCCACTCTCCGGAGGAAACTCATTTCTGCCGCTTGTATCCGTGATCTCATTCTTTTGGTCATGATCCAAAGTTCATGACCATAGGTGAGGGTGGGAACGTAGATCAACCGGTAAATTGGGAGCTGAGTCATAAGACGAAGCTCCTTCTTCACCACAACAGACCGGTACAGAGACTGCATTACTGCGGACGCCGCACCGATCCCCCTGTCAACCTGCTGCTCCATTTTTCCCCTCACTCGTGAACAAGACCCCGAGATACTTAAACTCCTCCACTTGAGGGAGCAACTTGCCCCCAACCTGGAGAGGACAATCCACCTTTTTCTGATTTTTTTTTTCTTCTTTCTTGTAATTATGAGAAAAAGCATGGGTTGGCACACTGCAGAACTTGCCTGAAAATCATCGGGTTTTAACGAATTCTTTAGTATCAGGATAATTCAGTGATATTTGTCGGTATATCCAACAGTGCACAGCAAAAGTGCACTGTTAATAACTAATTCGGCATACTTAGTGTTCCAAAACATAAACAAATACAGACGGGCCTCAAAGTCACTGCCTACAGTGCCTCTCACTATAGGCCTGTACATGTACTGAGCAGGAGTTGGAAAGCTTCTGAACCTGCTTGATAAACACTGGGTTTTTCAGACTTCCTCATTAGGCTATTTCTGTAAATCTGACAGCACATTCAACAATAGGCTAGGTAACAAAATTAACTGCTAATAGCTGATTCAGCATACTTAGTGTTTCAAAATGTAAACAATATGTCTATATAATGATTACGAGCTTGAATATCAATTTATCAAGAAAATGTTTTACATAGTATTTTGGGAAATGTCACATTAAATGGTAAAAGTTCAATCATGTGCACAGATCATACTTTTACAAGAAACAGCAAGTATAATTTTGGCATGGATATGAGTTATTGTGGGCTGCAGCTTAGGCTGTTTTTAGCCTATATTTGTTTATGTTTTGGAACACTGTGCCAAATTAACTATTATGTGCTATTTTATGTACCGAGAGAATTATGTTAATACTGAAGAAATCTTAAAAACCCAATGCTTTCAAGCAGGTTCTGAAACTTTCCAACTCCTGCTCAGTAGCCTAATGAGTTAGTATTGGCAGCAACTTTGAGGTCTGTTTGTAGTCTAGATTTATGTCTTGAACAGTAAGTATGCTGAATTAGCTACTGATAGTTCACTTTTGCTATGTACTGGATGTACTGACTATCACTAATTTATTTTGATACTAAACTGGTTAAAACCTGATGTTTTTCAGGCAAGTTCTGCAGCGTTACAACCCAATTGTTCTCATAATTACAAGGAAAAAAGATCTCATAATTTTGAGATAGTAAGTCATCACACGATAAGAGCCTCCAGTTTTTTAAATGCAATGCGCTTCTGTACTGTTACTTATCCTAAGCAATGTCTTTGAGCCACAGAGCTCATGTCATTTATCATATATAGTGTTAGGAAAATTGTGATGGCTGTTTCCCTCACCGGTCTTGGAGAAGTTTTTTATTCTGTGATAATCCACAGCTTCACGGTCAAGATGGGTAGCATGATGAATCACAAAACCACTGACCATAGTGTTGCGCAGCTGGAATGCAGAGTCCTCAGTGAAGATGGAGTATACTCAGGTTGCCTCAAGGAGCTGTGGGCCGTCTTCTTTCTGGGTTGTGCCATCAGGAAGCTGTTTGCCCCAGTAGTCACACTGGTCAAAAACATCATGGCAGGGGAAGTCTGTTCCCTCGTTTCGAGACAGGATGGGGAAGACATGGTCCACCATGTCACACAGACGCCCATAGCTGAGGGGGAAACAGACGTTTGCACTTTCTACTTGTACCAAACCAAAACTCAGACTTCAAACATCTGTACATACGTGTACAGAGTCAGAGTATGTTTATGAAAGTCAAAAGAAACAGTACAGCTTACGAGGAGATGTTGGTCTTGGCATGTTCCTGTGTCAGTTCCCCCTTGGGATTGACAGTGAAGATCCTGTTTAGAGAAACGCCAACCTCTTTATAGGAATACACATCCTGAAATCACATATAAACAATAGGGGTGTAAAGATAAACCGATACGAATTGGAAAATCAATACAAGAGTCAGATTGATGGCTGCAAAAAACGAAAAAAAAAACCAAATAATTTAAAAAAAAAAAAAAAAAAAAAAGTCTAAAAACTATATGACCCTCATGAACTGATCTTTGGCAAGTTTTCCATTACTTCTCGCTGTGCTGTGCGTCCACCATATTGTGCCGGAATTCAAACAGGCCTCCTCCTTAATGATGCAGGTCCAGGAGAAAAAAAACAGCGCCTAGTCCAGATAGCTGCAGGAGCAAACTGTGCTAGTTTTAGCAGCTACCTCAGAGTGCAGAACATGCAGTGCTCTTGTCGAGTAGCCTATACCTGAAGCACCACCGACCTCAAGTAGAAACATTACAAAAGGCGACACATGGTTGAACCAATGGAAACGGTTAAGTTTCCGGTGAGAGCAGTCAGCTTGAGGCAAGTAACAGTGCTACTGTTGTTAGTATCTACTTTCAGAGCACATCAGCTGATAATTCCACCTGACTGGGGTGAAGTCAGCAACTGAAGCTATAAAAGCTATTTCATTTGCAAAGTCACACACCTGTGCTGTTGAAAATGTGTAGTAGTCTTACCGTAGCTCTGTTGCCAAATGCAGCATAAAAAGGTTCAGTGTTTGGGTAGAAAAGGTGCTTGATGTCTGTAAGACACTCAACCTTAAACTTCTCTGGTTTCTTCTCAATCACCTCCCTACACAACACAGAATATAGAACATGGTTTTAATTACTATATTAGTTTTTCACTGGTTTGTCTGCACTGCATACGTGTCCGTTCAGTGGGGGTACAGATCAGGACATCCCTAGCATATATTCAAGCTTCAAGGCTATTGAATTCAGATTGCTCTAACATTTTTGTACATATGGCGTGTTTATTACCTGTGCAAGGCAGAAAAAAGACTGCTGGGGCTGAGCAGCACTGGGCCCATTGGCAGCATGGTTCCCCTCTCATTGACCCAGTGCAGGTAGCCTCGGGTCATATCAGCCATGCCGATGGCCCTCGCTGAGCAGTACATGAATTTATATCCATTCCTGTGACAGAGTGACCAGTCATTCAGGAGAAACAAAAATATAAAACACTGTACCTGCAGTATATTTCAGTAAAACTAGCTGTGCTCTATGCCCTGTGTGCAACCTGCAAGGTAGCACTCACTGGCTGACTCTGTGGTAGAGCCGTGCGATGCCCTGATGGGTCCAGTCTTTACCCAGTGTGGGGAGGATGTGACCCAGGGTGTCGGACCTATGGCACCACAGAAGCAACATCACTTCATCACTTCCCCAACATCAAATCCGAATAAAGCCTGACATCTACTGGTGAACCTCCGACACTGAGCAATAAGTTGCCGACTTGCTGTCTCTTACCTACCTGGTGATGGTTCCATCTATATCAGAGACAACTATTTTGTCATTCCAGCTCCAAAGATAGATTGTGCCATGGCAGCGACAGGTGCCCTGATACTGAGTGGTCACACTAAACACCACCTCATTAGGACCCTCCTTCAGCTGGAGGCTAGCCTGTTAACACACACACACACACACACACACACACAGTGCATCCAGAGGCAAGCACATTCAACCACAGATTGAAAGGAATGTTAAACCGTTGTCTAACAGGCTTGTAACTGTAGATACAGCACATAAGGAAAATATGCAGTTACACAATAATATTTACTAGTGTAGCAAAATGTAATTCAAATCTAAATGTAATAACATTCTTCCTTTAAAAATACATCATATGTTTATTACCCATTCCAGTGTTTTTGCAGTGACAGAAGATTTAATTCAAAATGTTTTGGCCTCATTTGTGCTTTATCACATGAACCATGTGTGCAATATGTCATTACAGCTGTCATAAACCAACTGGCTTGCATTTTTTTTTTTTTTTATTTGCAGGAATTTACCCATTAAGGTCAACAAAAGCAAATGAAGGAATAAACAGAGTACCAGTTGCTCTGAGCTGAGTCGAAGTGTCTTTTTGTAACAGATGCTGGCAGAGGTCACAGGGGGCTCTGACACCTGACTGAATGATCTGTGGTCCTCATCACTGGAGGATGACTCATCTTTCATTCTGAAAAATCAAAAACAAGTAATTTGATGTCAGATGAAACTGAAAACTGATGAGACCTGGTATGTGTAAGAGAAATATGGTGATTTAAAGAGTAAAAATAAGTGGAGTGTGTCTGGAGTCACCTGTCCACTGAGGCCATAATGCAAGAGCTCTCTCCTTGGTCTCCTCCTGCTTCTGTCACCGATTCCTGAAGTGCACGGAGGTCAAAGGTCACAACTGTCTTAAATCAACTGAAACATTATGTGGTGGTTTAACAAACATGACCTTTGCTTTACCCAAAACACTTCACTGTGCATTATATTCAATATAATGAAGGCTATGAACAAACCGTGTAAAATAATCTCCATCTGTGTCCTTACTGATTTAGATTCTCTGTTCCTGCTCCTCCATGAGAACCACCAGCGTCCTCCTTTCTTTGGCATCTTCTCCTTCACGATGTTTTCCACTGAGGCCTGGACAATCATGCACATACAACTCAAAGCTCACCAAAAATAGGCGACAGAAAAAAAAATCCAAATTAAAATAAACAGGAAATTTCAAACCACACTGAAATCCAACCAGCTCGCCAAAATAAATGCAGTTACAGGTGAAAACACAAAGAGCAAAGTAAAACATGAAAGGAAGAGAGACACTGCAAGAACAAGATGGAGACATGCAAGGTGGAGAGAGGTAGACCTGACCAACACTCAAAGTAAAGCCAGAAACCATCCTACAGGCTTGGGAGGGCTGGAGCCGAACAGACCGGGGAAGCAGTATGAGAAGAGGCCAAAGACAGAAAACATGTAACTCAAACACCAACACTTAGTGCACACAAGCATCCGATGGATGGTGGAAGAGATGTAAATAAAGGGGGGGGAAAATGAGGAGGACAAAGACAAAACATTATTCAAGTGTTAGGACACAGTTGGATTCAAAGAAATATTTCACTGTGGTGCTCTGTCATGTGTGTTCATCATCTGCAGACTTGAACAGCTGGCATATCAGACACTGGGTACCTGTAACAATGTTTACTTTGTTCACCTACGCTAAACATCACATCATATATTCTGTCCAACATTTATCAAAATGGTTTATTATCTATGAAAGCCAGAAACAAATGTGAACACACATTATGTGGTAGCATTTGGTTGAAAATGAGATAACTGACATAATGATTGATGCAGACGCTGAGCCACATTAAACATCAGATTAAGGAGAATTAACTTAGGAGCGCACAAGAGAAAAGTGATGCAGGTAGATGCAGAACAAAGAGACACCATCTAACAATAATAATGATATAATCAAATTCAGTAATATATTTATTTAGAACTTTTAAGTCAATTACAGCATAAGGGATGACATGTACTGTATGCCCCAAGTCCAGAGGACAGGTAAACGGGATTCCTTTTAATCCTGTGTAATAGTGGTCTTACCTGTGGCAGTGGTTTCTGGTAGACCTGCATGGCCAACATGACAGGGGCTGCTGTGTTCCAGTTGTAATACCTACAGGGACAGAAAGCACTATAAGCACTTCTTTACATCTCAGGTTTCTATATGGGCTGCTGCTGAAGATATTTAAAAGAATAGCTTGACATTATAAAGATAAACTGATTTACAATATCAAATCCACTCTCATGTCTGTACTTTAGTTTGAAGGGTATTAAATTATAAAATTGTTGGCAGAACGTTGACAGCCATTTATGTACATCATGGCCTCGGGGAAGGGTTGCTAAAATTGTTAGCTATTAAAAACAAACAAGCCAAAAACTAGATAATTTAATTAGACTATTAATAAAGTACTGCAACGATCAGATGGTTGTGACTGCCTCTGCTTCTACCCTCAGCTGAAATGTGCAACACTCCTTGGGGCTGAACAGAGCAGTACATACTTGTTTCCTATCTGGACCACCAGGTTAGGGTCATCAATGATAGAAGGGTTTGCTGAGAACTGCTGGTAGGAAACTGCCCTCTCCTGGAACTGCTCTGTGGCGACAAGCATGCACACACACACACACACACACACACGTACACAGATTGACCGACAGGTGCTTTATATTTCTTGTGAGGTAAAAACTGCACGTGTTACATATTTATTGGGTGAGTATCATCATCATCATCATTCCTTAAGCTACCTCTTGTGATCTCCCTGTTGTTCACGAGTCCTCCACACAAAGAGATGGCAACATGAGGCATGTCCCCTATGTGGTCGGACAAACTGTCCACACCGCTGTCCACCCTGCTGCTGCCCACTGACTGTGGGGACTGATTAGCGCTCTGCACTCCCATCATCATCATCTCTGAGTCCCCAATCACTGAGCTGCTGCCTCCATCGCTATGGAGAGGGAGAACACATGTTTGTGTCACAAACAGAAAATATTGTTTGAATGTGAATGGTCTGATAAAAACTGCCTCATCTTTAAAGTCCACTCTGCGTGTCCACTGCTGAGGACATCCACCATAGGCTGAACTGTACCACATAAAAGCACTCTCCACAGTTACACATGTTGTTACTGTACCTTTTAGTTAAGTAGAGAGCCGCGACTTCTGGCTCCAGATCTGTAATGTCATCCAGATATATTCCATCAGCACTCAGGTGTTGGCTTCTTTTTTCTAAAAGGAACAACGCCACACTTCTTCAGTAGCAGGAACAAAAGGCAGAGGCATATAAACACCTTTAGCTTTCATTATTTACAGTGCTTTACCTTTCTTCTTGCGTGGTGAATCAGTTCTTCTAATGGGACTTTCTGTAGTCCCACCTTTGTCCAGATGATCAGGGAGAATCCTGGGAGACACTGAGCAGGCTCTTAGACCCTCCATCTCTTCACATGACGGCCCACCCACCTCTAAGGAAAAAGGACACAGTAGAGAATCAACAATTTTACATACTAATTGGTTGTTTTAGCCTGTGATATGTTTCTACATGCATGTAGAGGGTGTACAGGTAGAGTCTTCCATTTCAGTACCTTGCTCTGCTCCAGCCTTGTCCACAGTCTTGTTAGCTAGTCCGTCTCTGGCTCCATGCTTGCTTTGTTCTGTGTCCCCACCACAAGCAGTGCCCTCTCCTGGCTGGGGGGTATAGAGCATGATGGAAGGAGCTCCAGTGTCACTGATGGCTCTGGAGTGAGTGCTGCCAGACACTGGGATGGAGACTGATGTAGCAGAGTCCTGCTTCCGGTGGGATGTCAGGAAGGACGGCTGTAGGAGACACAAATGAACTTTTTCCACACAATATTTGTATGATGTGCCATGTACTGATTTTCCAAATGTAAAATGTATAAAAATCTTAAAGAAATAGTCCAACATTTTGATAAATATGCTTACTGGCTTTCTTTAGATGAGATGGCCTTTACCAGCCTGCAGCCAGTTATCTTAGCTCAGCATAAAGACTGGAAACAGGGGGAAGCAGCTAGCCTGGCTTTGTCAGAAGGTAACAACCCACAAACAGCACCTGTAAAGTTCACTACTTAACACATTATATAATGCTTGTTAAATCTTTTAAAAAAACAAATTACATAAATGATGCCAATAACTGAGCTTTAGAGGCGCTGAAAGGTGGACTTTGCTACTTTCCAGCCTTAGGCGCTAAGCTAAGCTAATCAGCTCATGGCTGTGGCTTCGTATTCAGTGTACAGACATGAGAGTAGTATCACTTTTCTCAGGTAACTCTGGGCAAGAAAGAAAATATAAGCATATGTCCCTTTATATTTTATTTCCGCAACTATAACTATGTAGTGGAATATTTACAAAACTAATATGTAGAGCCAGTAAACACATAAGCAACTACTGAGAATTTCTAATGTGTATGTATATAGAAACCTGTGCAGCCTGTGGCAGCTCCCCCCAGGTCCACAGCATCTCAGGGTTGTCTTTGCTCCGTTTGGTTAACTCTGAATCGCTCTTTGGTGTTGATGACTGTGAATCGTCAGGGCTGCTGGGAAAGACATAGTAAAACACTTTAGTTGATAGTCTGTTGTTAAACACACTGCTTCCTTGTTACATTTGAGTGGGGAGCTAATTATAACTGATATGCATGTATCCATTTCCTGCAAACTGTGTGCTTTTCCCTCATTAGTGTATTGTTTCATTGCCAGCGGTCAGCAAGGGTAAAAATGAAGGCGCTACCGAGCAGGGGAAGAGAAGGGAGAGGTCTGCTGAGGACAAGACATGGACAGACCGCAGGGCGAAGTGACGGAGAGAATCTCCTTCATCACTTTACTACAGGAAGATAAAAGACACAAAGACAGGTAAAAACAGAAAAAGGAGACAGAAAACCTGAGACACAGTGAATTATTACTGTGAGTACAGAAGATGTCTTAGAAATGTGTACAACAATATGAGCAGAAACAACTCAGGATAAAGTTAAAGAAGAGATTTTGGACAGTTAAATATGATCAGGGTTAGTTTATCGACAGTACCTCTGTGAAGTGATCCCGTCGGTGCTAGGGGGTGTGTGGGCAACTGCTGCGGACACCTGATCACCAAATGCAGGTCTGACCAGAAACACACACACACACACAGGGAGATGTCAGTCATAAAGACATTATTTCACACCCTGTGCTATTTAAGTACAGGGTGTCTCTGCAAGTCCAATAAAGTAAAACAAGTGGTTTGTTTCTGCCCATAATAGTGTCTGGAATCCCTGTTAACAGCCTGTTCACCACCTTGTTCATCTATGAAACTGCAGTCTGACGGTAACCACATATCACAAACCAGCCTGCAAGATTTTCTCCTAAAGTACAGTCCAAGTGTGGCATGAGGCAGACATGCACTCTTGCATGTTTTCAAGGGTTTCAGGAATTTTCCCATCCTGCCATGTGGTGCACTTCCCAAGAAAGCTGCAGGGAACACGGCACTGGGAGCCATCATTTCACAGAGACAGAGAGTCCTGTGGGAAGGGGACAAGTCCCTGGAGCGCATCTAGTAAACAGAGCTGGCTTTCAAAGGGCTTCGCATACACAAACATGCACATACAGAATCACACATTAAATCATCTGTCCCTAAACTGTTTTAAGCAAGTAATTTTCAACAGTTTCTACTAAACTGAATCAAAAGCAACATAAAAAGTCATATAGGTATGATTTGTTTAAATCAGTCATCTTCTCATTATGAGTAATGGCGCTATTTAACACACACTTTTCTGATGAAGGACTGGTCGTTTGGGCCTTTTCACATGAGGCACATCTATACTTTTTCCCCCTGAGGTACTCTCACTGGTTTGAGGTGAACAGGGTTCAATTGGAGAAAGGTAATGGCTTTTAATTTAGGATATAGCAACATCTAAATCTGAATTAATCTGGTTACCATCAGTCAAATCAAACCATATCCATGCAGGCCTAATGATGCAGGTTAACTGAGCACTTAATAAAATATCTAAAGACGTCTTTTCTAATGTTGTTTGATGCCTTTTAGCCTTTAATATTTAATGTTGCAGAGAAGTGCTTAAGATTTAAAGCCACATTTTCAGAGGTTCTAGGGGACTCAAATGGTGGGCTGGTGTTTAACCCATTTTCTCTTAACTATAATTACAGCATGACTAATACTCTACAGTTACGCTAGCGGTTTGGGGTTCCCCCTTGTGCAGCATGAGTTTGGGGTGACAATGCAATGCTATAGCAGCAATGGAACAGACTTATTAGCGTTTAACAACTTTTCTCCCTCTCTCACACACCTGCTGCTGTCACCCTCTCGGTCTTCATCCGAGCTCAAGTCAATAGTAAACATGTCTTCATCCTCTGAAAACTCCTCCACGCTCTCCTCTCTCCTCCCTCCTCCTCCCGCTGCACCTCCCTCTGGCCGTGCCTTCCTCCTCCTCTTCTTGCTTATCGTTCCATCACTTTGCTGCGGTCCCAGGTTCTGGACAGGACGTAAGCTGCAGGTGATGGCATCTATGTGATGTAGCATGAAAAATGGTTAAAAAGAAAAACTACATACACTCACAACTTCCAATATTTATTTTTTTGTTCCAGTTGTACCGTGGTGACAAGAAGTGGCTCTGCCCAGCTGCGACTCCATCAACTCCTCCCCCATCGACATGATGGGTGTTGTTGCAAGGTAGGATGGAACTACTTCCTGTCAAAAGATGAACATGACATGATTATATGAGGTCAGTCATACGATTGGAAATCATCAACTTCTTACTTAAACTGGAATGAACAGTATTTGATGCATGAAGTGAATAATTAAAATTTCTGACAAGAAAACAGAAGAAATCATCTTAATTCTGGACTAGATACAGAATGTAATCATGTGAGAGTGGGGATAAAGTGAATAATGTACTGAGGCACAGTGGTGCTTTGAGCTACATGCCAACACCACCAGGGCAATAAGCTCACAGCGACAGCACTAACGTTTAGGTGACACAATGTTCACCACATTCTCCCTTTTAGTTTAGGGCATTACCATTGTAATGTTTGTTTGATATGTCTAAGTACAGAAGTAATTCAATTCAGTTTTATTTCTATAGAGCCAAATCACAACAAAGGTCATCTCAGGACCCTTAGTAAGGTCTCAATGTGTGCAGTGCACCAGATTTCGCTTTGTTTCCTCTGCTTGTTTGTTGTTCCAATGCAAACAAAAAAAAAATAAAGATAAGAATACCAAAGATTTGTGATTGCAACAATTTTCTGAAGGAAGTGGTGCGTTATCTGACAGAAGTGCCAATATTTTTTGGCCATGACTGTACGTACTTCATTCCTTCAGGATCCAGACTAAAGAGGAAGTGGGAGATTCCAAGGGTTTTTATAAGGGTGGAGATTTTTGTCCCTTACCATACAGAGGCAGGGTTCATGGTTTTCAGATCAATGCTCTAAAACACGGCTTGTTTCTGGATGCTGCTCTTTTCAGATATGTCGATGTATTTTAGACAGCTGTGTTAAGAGGTATTTACTTATCATGAAATCTTTTACTGCACACTGTGTGATTATTATTCATGCCTATCTGGGCCAGAACACTCTTGAAAAAGAGAATTTTAATGAGATTTTTAAGTCTTTCCTGATTAAGATGTTTACTAAATAACATTAAAGATGTAATATTTTACACTTTTAGCAGCTGTCCGGCAGAACTGTGGTGTTGCATCTCAGAGTACATGAGAGAAGGGGCACTACTCTGCCTCCGCTGGGCTTGTCTGGGCAGGAAAACGATAGCTCTGCACCTAATGATTACCATAACAATGACTTTTATATTTGTAGATTTACCATTAACTGGTGAAACCAGTTTGAAGTACCACAGTGCAAGAGGGCAGGAAATAAATGCATTTTCTAAGAGCTCAAATCAAGTCCCGTCTGTATTTTAGTTCAGGTTGTACAAAATTTATGACACTACCATATATTCTGTCCAATATTTGTGTGTGTTTACTGCAAATCTTTACTCACCAGTGTGTTCTCAGTCTCTTTGACAAAGAAGGCCTCTCCATTCTCGCCCAGCTTCATGTGCAGACTCACTGGCTCTCCATTGATCTCTATGTCCACCTGCAGGACAGAATAAGGAGTCCTTTAACACATTTTAAACCACAGTATTTAAGCTGACAAATACTAAGTACTGTGAGCTTCGTCCAGCTCTGCTCTTCATCATTTTCACACTCCGTTTTACTATAGGTATGATCTGTCACTTTTAACTTATGCACAACAACCTATAAAAGTATTCACACAGTGTTTGGGGTACTGTACTATCATTCCGTATTCATATACTGCAGTGCCGCTTCTGTTACTGCGTTACACATATATCATCAGCTCTTTATTGTAATGTGAGGGAGAGAGCACTCTATAATCTCACCAGTTTCTCACGGGACCACAGCATGCCCATCTTGCCGAAGCGAACGTGGAAGGGGGAGCACTGCAGGGAGCCATCAGGCTGGCGAACCACGATGACATCTATACATCCAGACAATGTCGCAGGGTTGAGGCCTCTGTACAGCTCCTTCACCTGCACAAACACCTGGCCCGCCAACTGACCCACATAGTTCATGGTCTGTAACTGGAGACGGACAGGGAGACACTGGTTATTCGGCTTATTGTCCATTACATACATTCTTTACATAGGCACAACTTGGCACAGGAGCAGGATAACTGATCTTTAATGAACCCACTGATTGTAGAAGAACCAAACTCTTAATGGACGAGATGTTCTGTGCAACCACAAGGCCGCACTGTCATCTTGCCACATTATTACTCCACTGAGTCCAGTTACTGCCCACACACTCTGGCCAACCTTAACAGTCTCAGATGCTTTACAATGACAGTTCCCACATTCTTTTCTCTGTTCTCCTGGTGTTGTGAGTGTGGGTCATGTTGGTGGGTGCACTGATGTAAAAACATTCAGCTTTTCCTAAAACAAAATATGCCTTGAAGTTGTTTTTTTTGGCCTGTTGAACACAAAAATCACAATGGAAACACAAGAGTATCTTTTCCTTTAATGCAAATGCACTCCAGGGACATGGGAGGTTAATCATGCGGCGCTGTGCCAGTCTATCTGATCCACAGCCTCTTATGGTCTCTGTCCAGAATGCCAAATGTGGCCCTGGAGAGGGACAAGACAGGGAAATGCATTCACTGGCCTGTAGGATGGGTAGCTGTTGTTTTGGGGGGAATCACAGAGAGAGAGAGAGAGAGAGAGAGAGAGAGAGAGAGAGAGAGAGAGATAAAGAAAGAAAAGGTCAAGAAAAACCATTCAGTGCTGAGGAGAACTCCATGATTGTTCGTTGATAAGCTGGTACTTCATGCTTTCATACAAATATGGTGACAAATAGACTATAAGACTAAACAAGCTCTGTTTGTGCACCTAGCTTCTGTTGTATTGCATGTAAACCATTTAAAGCCAGGGTAAAGTCGAAATCAATGTGTTTTGAGTTTGTTACACCACAGGAAGATGTGTTATTAACCACACAGACACATTTAAATGATTAAAAAGATCACCAAGTATATAAAATCAGCTTTCAAAATCATGAAGAAATAAGGAGTATTTTCTGCTCTAAAACACTGGATGTGTGTGTCAGGTGAAGAGTAAAACCGTGCCCATCATGGATGGATTAAAGTAGAACATGTATGCATTTGTGGGGCAAAGACATAGCTAGAAAACTGTAGGCTGTAGTAGGTGTAGCAGCGTTGTAGGACACAAGTCAGAGAGCTGGTGTTACTGCCCCCTGGGTCTATAGGAGCATTTTAACAAACACACAACACATGCCTTGCCCAGTCTTCCTGGACATCTTTGTTTAACAGCCAATCACAGTGCTGCTCCAATGACGAGACAACTCACTGGGTCATTCGGTGCATTTGCTGTATTGTTTTCCAAGAAACACCAAAACATTTAGGCAGCCTTCTGATGTTATTTCTGTGGCAAGTGGACAAGAACACTGAGTCCGAGCTGCAGCCGCAGTGCAACATAAAACCCCACAAAGGCTTCTTCATTAAAGTTTAGTCGATATTAAACTTCAGGACCACCAACTATAAACGGAGGCAAACAAGGAGGCTGAGGAATTTACACACAGATGATGATGTGCGCAGGATTATCCATTTAAATCCATTTAATGTGACAGGAGAAGCAGTGTGACACACCAGGATAACTGACTGCAAAAACAACACACATGACGGGGATATTCATTTTGTATATATCTTTAATTATATACTATGACATGACCTCCTAAAGGCTAAATAAGCCACACGAATAAACTAACACCAATTTTGCTCGACAAGACACCGTCTATGCTAAAGCTTTAAAGCACAAATCACAAAATAAGACACTCTGCATCGACCTAAGCGTCATTTGACCGTAAAGTCACGTGTGGCCTGTGAGGACACACATACTGTGCACGCGGGGCGAGGCCATGCAGCAAACACACACCACGCACACACGACCGAGTAAATGAACTACAGTGATGTTAAATCCCTGCCAGAGGGATACGGGTGCATCTTTACTCACATTATTTACTGGCGTCGCGTCTCGCTGTCGGTTCGCTCCGCCTTCCAAATGTTCCACCAAACGTCCGTGTCCTTTCTCAGACCCAACACTGGGTCAAACAGCCAGTCTCATCACGTCCCCACTAACAGCAGGTGTTGGTTTCGGAGGCGGAGGATGCTTCTCTATTTACACCTCGGTTCACATCCTCCTCCCACTAACACCGCACCGAAAAGAAACGGAGCGGTGCGGCTCAGTGATTGGCTGAGCCAGAGTCGACGTCACACGGTGTTGACCGAACATTTCCTGTTAAAATCAATCACTTTCTGATTCTATCTTTGTGATTTTATCCGGTCTGTATTTGCTGTTCTTACTGCTTTGCTATCACTCTGATTTATATTGTCTACTCCGCTGTGAAGGCTGCGTTGTTGGTAAATAAGTCATTTACTGATAGGCCTACTTTTTAAAATCACTTAAAAGCCCTTATTAGGAAAATTACTTTGGGTTGCCAGGTTGTGGCTCGTGTTTCTCCTACTCCAGCATAACACTTGATTGGTCTAAGCCTTAATTCATCCAGGGGACTGTTTGACCTTTAAACCTCTGGAAAAGGGCTTAACACTGTACAGATGACTTGCTGACCTTTAGTGCTGGCTCATTAAGGAGTAAGAAATTCTGGACCCTTTATAAATAAGCTAACATATTGTGATGACTATGCCAGCCAGCGGGAGGGTTAGTGACAGCGGCAAGCATTATGCGAATGTGTAAATAGTTAGCGTAATATTGTGGTATAATCCTGAGTCATTGTGTTTTACGGTTCTTGTTATTGTTGTATTTTGAGGGGTTAAAAATGACTGTTGGGTTCATGCTGTGTGTGTTGGGTTGCATCGAGCATTCGGTGCTCGAACCTGTTGACTGCTGTTCGATTGGAAGTGTTTTCGCTGTATAATGCCTGTGTGTGTTAGTTGTTGTGGCTGTGACTGAGAAAATAAAAGACAAGTGAGAGCTGGCTGACGTGCTGTGATTTGAGAACAGTGAATTACGCCACTGAAGAGCAATTCAGGGTGAGGGTGCACACTGTGCCAGTGACATAAGGGGAAGGTGTGATCCTCGGGGGATTGTTAAAGCTGTGCGGTGCACGGAGCCCGGTCGTAACAGTGTTAGTCTTACGTAGGTGCTAGCACCCCGCTAGCTAGTTAGCTGCACAGTTAGGATTCGCTCCTCTCCTCCG